ATATATGTCTATTTATATACATATATGTATATACATAAATATTAATAATAATAATATAATAATATAAATAATAATAAATCCTATAGTTAGGGTTGGCTTGTTATGTTGTCTTAAGCTTAGACTACTAGAGGACAAATTGGCCTCATTTCCTTAAATTAATTGTTAAAATTTAATAGTTTTCATTTGATAATTTTTTTTATCTTAACATGTGATTCTTGACCTGCCATTGTGTGTCTGTTCTTACCAAACCCAGCCGGTCGAAGCAGATGGTCCGCTTGTCCTGATCCTGGTTCTGCTAAAGGTTTCTTCCTCATAAGGGAGATTTCTTTCCACTGTCGCCTTCATGCTTGTTCAAGATGAGAGTTCAGTGATGGAGTTAAACTCAGAGCTGCTCCTCACATAAATAATGTTAAATTATATTTTTATATATGGATATTTCTGTTCAGAGCCTGAGATGACTTCTGTTGTGACTTGGAAATTTAGAAATAAACTGAATTGCTAAGGCCAGTTAGCAGTGGCTGCCATCTTGAATGAGGTAAACTCCACAAGTTACTCTGTTCCAGATGTAAAACCAGTTGTTACTGATCGTAACACTGCCCCGGTGGATGTAAAGGTGCAGACGTGCTCAGAATTTATTATGTTATGTCCTGTGTCGGCAGCACGGTGGTGCAACTGGTAGAGCTGCTGCCTCTCAGCGAGCAGGTCCTTGGTTCAAACCCCGGTCCAGGGGCCTTTCTGGGTGGAGTTTGCATGTTCTCTCCGTGCATGCGTGGGTTTTCTCCGGGTGCTCCGGTTTCCTCCCACAGACCAAAAACATGCATGTTAGACTGATTGGTAACTCTAAATTGTCCCTAGGTGTGAGTGAGAGAGTGAATGGTTGTTTGTCTCGTTTGTCTCTATGTGTCCCTGTGATGGACTGGAGACCCCGTCCAGGGTGTACCCCGCCCCTCGCACAGTGATTGGTGGACATGGGCACCAGCGACCCCCGTGACCCAAAATGGAATAAGTGGGTAAAGATAATGGATGGATGGATGTCCTGTGTCCACAGAAAGTAGGACTGGGATGAAGCGGTGCACTGGTACGACAGCACCCTCAACATGACAGACTACGACGATGGCGGAGAGTTCGACGGCACGCAAGACGAGCCTCGCTGCTTTCTGCTGACCAGAGAGGCTGAGATGTACCAGGAGGGCGGCCACAACCTCAAAGCAGATCCACAGAAAGCAGGTTCGGCTCCGTCTGCTGAATAAAACTAATCGAAATATCAGAAAATATGCCTTTTATTCTCCTCCTGGCTAAAACATCTCTCCTTCTGATGCAGGTGATCTGTTTACAGAAGCTGCCATGGCAGACATGAAAGGTCGCCTGGCCAACCAGTACTACATGAAAGCTGTGGATGCCTGGGCCTGGTTGAGGAGTAACTCTGATAACATAATTCATCCCTCGGAGGCTGTGTTTGATAGTCACTCTGGTTTTAACGCATTCAGCATTTACCCTGAATGATTAGTTGACATACTTTTACGACAAAACAAAAGATGAGCCATCAATGATCAGACTTTTCTTTCTTCCAGTTTCTGTCTGTTGCTTTGTGACTTTAATCAGCTCAACTCATTCTCCATTTACTTCCCTGTCCCTTCATTACCTTTTTTATTTAGGTGAATGTGGTTGTATAAAAGAAAACAAAAATTAAGAACAAAGAGAATTGTTAATAAACTAAGGTTGGAGGAGTTTATGTAAAAATATGCAGAGTATGAAAGTATATAATAAAAGTTTGCCTTGCTTTTATAGTTGGTCATTTGTGATTGTTTTTCTGCTTTGTCACCTTCCATAAGTGAGATTATGTTTCACCTCCAGAGTTAAATTTTTCTGATCTCAAAATAAAAATAAACAAATTTCCTCTAAATAACTTTTTTATTGGAGCTCTTCCCATGTATTCACTTCAAACCAGATAATTATTTTTATTTCTTTGCTGAGTGCTGAAATTCTTTGTTGAATTATGAATTAACTGAGTTATTAAAGTTAAAACAAGCAGAGCAGAAGCTAAAAGTCAATAAAACCGTAGCTAACAGCAAAAATCAGCTAAACTAAAAGCTGAAATTAGTAAAACAGTAGTTTGCAACAAACATACCACATTTTTCGGACTATAAGGTGCACTGGATTATAAGGCACATTAAGCAAAACAGATAAGTCAAACTTTATTCAACTCATTCACAATAACTCAACATTGTTCAGTTGTAACATAAAATCAGTTCAAGGTCAGGAAGCACAACCAGAATTAATACATAAGGCGCACCGGATTATAAAGCTCACTGTCGATTTTTGAGAAAATTACAGGATTTTAAGTGTGCCTTATAGTCTGAAAAATACAGTACTTGGAAAAACTATAATTAAAAACAAAGGCGTAAATCATGAATAAACAAAAAAATGCAGTTTATTACGTTCTCCATTTTGATCTTTCATTTAGTCTTGCACAAAATCATTAAAAATACATTATAAGAATGAATGTTGACATGAAAAAACATTGAATAGTAAATTAGATCAAAGTTCTGCCACGGAAAAGAACTGACTTTTAGTTTTCACTGATGTGGCAAAATGTTTTCCACTAAACAGTAACATCCATCCATTATCTTTACCCACTTCTTCCATTTTGGGTCACGGGGGTCGCTGGTGCCCATGTCCAGCAATCACTGTGTGAGGGGCGGGGGACACCCTGGATGGGTCGCAAGTCCATCACAGGGACACATAGAGACAAACGAGACAAACAACCATTCACTCTCACTCACACCTAGGGACAATTTAGAGTCACCAATCAGCCTAACATGCATGTTTTTGGTCTGTGGGAGGAAACCGGAGTACCCGGAGAAAACCCACGCATGCACGGAGAGAACATGCAAACTCCACCCAGAAAGGCCCCTGGACCGGGGTTTGAACCAAGGACCTGCTCGCTGAGAGGCAGCAGCTCTACCAGTTGCGCCACCGTGCTGCCGCTGCCACATCTTATTTTATTTTATTAATGGTGTAGAAATTCATCCTCCTCCTTTCACGGCACTACAGTTTGCTGCCCAGTGAAGAGAGGTTAGGGTTTGATGTCGTATTGAATGATGAAAGGGACTCTTCTGCTGCACTTTTTAAAGCCTGAGGACACAACGACTGGCTTCTGTCTCTCCTCTCCTCTTGCAGGCTGCAGGAGGGAGCTTACCCCTGCACTTGTAGGCTGCAAAACAGGTGCAAAATCATTTAAAATATTTTTTTTAAATAAACAATATATGGCTCATCCATCAATCAGCCAATTGTGTCCTGTCCAATCTAACTTTGAAAAATTGCAATATAGCGAATCCGTGAAAAACCATCCGCGAAGTAGCGAGGGACTACTGTACATACATATACACACCCACACACACACATACATATATATATATATGTGTGTATTGTATCCATCAATCCATCCATTTTCTTCTGTTTATCTGGAGTCAGGTCATGGTGTAGCAACTTAAGTAGGGAGGCCCAGACTTCCCTCTCCCCAGCCACTTGGGCCATCTCCTCCGGGAGATTCCCGAGGAGTTCCCAGGCCAACCAAGGAACATAATCCCTTCCAGCGTGTCCTGGATCTTCCTCTGGTCTCATCCCGGTGGGACATGCCTGGAACGGGAGGCGTCCAGGAGGCATCCTAACCAGATGACTGAGCCACCTCAACTGGCTCCTCTTGACGTGGAGAAGCAGCGGCTGTACTCTGAGTCCCTCCCGGATGATCGAGCTTCTCACCGTACCTCAACGGGAGAGCCCAGACACCTTGCAGAGAAAACTCATTTTGGCCGCTTGTATCCGAGATCTCGTTCTTTCGGTCACAACCCAAAGCTCATGACCATAGATGAGGGTAGGAACGTAGATCGACCAGTAAGATGAGAGCGTCACCTTTTGACTCAGCTCTCTCTTCACCACGACAGACCTGTACAGCGCCCACTTCACTGCCGACGCTGCACCCATCCCCCTATCGATCTCTCGCTCCATATTTCCCTCATTCGTGAACAAGACCCCAAGATACTTGAACTCCTCCATTTGGGGCAGGACCTCTTCCCCGACTCGGAGAGGGCACTCTACCCTTTTCCAGCTCAAGACCATGGCCTCGGATTTGGAGGAACTGATCTTCATCCCGGCTGCGTCACACTCGGCTGCAAACCACTCCAGCAAAAGCTGTAGATCACGACCTGATGAGGCCAATAGAACCACATCATCTGCAAAAAGCAGATACGCGATCCTAAGGCCACCAAAACGGATCCCCTCAACACCTTGGCTGCGCTTAGAAATTCTGTCCATAAAAGTTATGAACAGAATCACGACAATGGGCAACCTTGGCGGAGTCCAACTCTCACTGGGAACAAGTCCGACTTACTGCCGGCAATGCGGACCAAGCTCTGACACTGGTCATACAGGGACCTAACAGCCCGTATCAAAGGTCCTTGTACCCCATACTCCCAGAGTACCCCCCACAGGGTTCCCCAAGGGATGCGGTCGAACACCTTCTCCAAGTCCACATAGCACATGTAGACTGGTTGGGCAAACTCCCACGCACCATCCAGGACTCTGCTGAGAATGTAGAGCTGGTCCAGTGTTCCACAACCAGGACAAAAACCACACTGCTCTTCCTGAATCCAAGGTTCGACTATCCGATGGACCCTCTTCTCCAGAACCCCTGAATAGACCTTACAAGGGAGGCTTAAGAGTGTGATTCCCTTTGTAGTTGGAACACACTCTACTGTCCCGCCTTTTGAATAGGGGGACCACCACCCCGGTCTGCCAATCCAGGGGAACTTCCCCCGATGTCCACGTAATATTGCAGAGTTGTGTAAGCCAACACAACCCTACAACATCCAGAGACTTAAGGAACTCCGGGCGAATCTCATCCACCCCTTGGGCCCTGCCACCGAGGAACTTTTTAACCACCTTGGTGACCTCAGCACCAGAGATTGGAGAGCCCGACCCAAAGTCCCCAGGCTCTGCTTCTTCAGTGGAAGATGTGCCGGTGGGATTGAGGAGGTCTTCAAAGTATTCTGCCCACCGACCCATGACATCCCAAGTTGAGGTCAGTAGCACACCACCTCCACTATAAACTGTGTTGGTGGTGTACCGCTTCCCCCCACCACCACCAACCGAGACACCGGATGGTGGACCAGAATCACCTCGAAGCCTTGAGGAAGTCATTCTCCATGGCCTCTCTGAACACCTCCCATGCCCGAGTTTTGCCTCAGCGACCACCTGAGCCGCAAGTCGCCTGGACTGCCGGTACCCATCAGCTGCTTCCGGGGTCCCACAGGCCAAAAAGGCCCAATAGGACTCCTTTTTCAGCCTGATAGCATCCCTCACCATCGGTGTCCACCAACGGGTTCGAGGGTTGCCCATGCGACAGGCACCGACAACCTTGTGGCTACAGCTCTGGTAAGCTGCCTCGACAATAGAGGCATGGAACATGGCCCCCTCGGACTCAATGTCCCCCACCTCCCCCGGAACATGTTCGAAGTTCTCTCAGAGGTGGGAGTTAAAGCTCCGTCTCACAGGAGACTCTACCAGATGTTCCCAGCAAACCCTCACAATACATTTGGGCCTCCCAGGTCTGACCGGCATCCTCCCCCACCATCGGAGCCAACTCCCCACCAGGTAGTGGTCAGTGGACAGATCCTCCCGTCTCTTCACCCGAATGTCCAAGACATGCGGCCGCAGATCAGATGAGACGACAACAAAGTTGATCATAGAACTGCGGCCTAGGGTGTCCTAGTGCCAAGAGCACATATGGACACCCTTATGCTTGAACATGGTGTTCGTTATGGACAATCCATGACAAGCACAGAAGTCCAACAACAGAACACCACTCGGGTTCAGATCGGGGGGGCGTTCCTCCTAACCACACCCCTCCAGGTCTCACCGTCATTGCCCACATAAGTCCCCCAGCAGATCAAGCGAGTCTCTGTTGATCTGCTCTCTCACAGACTGCTGCCATTATGGTGTTCTGATAAGTTCGGCTCCGCATGTTGAGTTGTCAATTCATTTTTAGCTTTTTTCGTTTTCTGTTTCTCCGGCGTGTTGGGTGTTGAGTTACATTCACCATTTTTCCCAGCCGAGCAAGCATAGGAGTGCATTTCTCTAGCAGTTCTTTTCTCTTTTGCTGTTTCAGTCTCCATGTCTGCAAGTTGAACCACACTAGCTTTCTTCGGTTTAGCCATTTTCCCGTTAGTCGTTGTGCCACGCTGCTTTCAGCTAGTCGACTTTGAGCGGAGTAATTTCGGTTCCCATATAGTTATAGAGAACTCATGTTGATTGAAATCTTTGTCCGGGGAGATGACTCACGGCTCCTTTATTGTCTTCATGATTGTTGGTGACAATTGACTTCTTCTTTGTTTAGTTGTGCAGATAGATGTGACTTGGTTTTTAATGCACGTCTGGTCTTGTCGCCATCTTGGCTCGTCTTCAAACGATTCATTCCGACAACGAAACAGTTTGTGTTTCGGACGTCAAGTGACTTTTCCGCACCAAAACAGGCTCCGAAGCAGTGCTCCCATGTAATTTTACTGCAGGGTTCGAAGCATGTTTTGAAGCTTTTGTTTCATACTACCATCACTAGTTTATTGTTTTGAGAGTCACATGTAACTTTAAATATTGTCATGAGCTTATTTGCTAGCGCTGTTTTATCTGTTTCAAATTGTCGCTGTTTCATTAGTTTGATTTAACTGTGGTGCTCCTAAAGTACTTTCTGGTCTTCTGCGTGAACTGGTTTGCCAACTGACTGTTCAGTTGTGTGTTAACTGCATCGTGGTGTTAGTGGGATTTGGCCATGAGCAGCCTCTGCTCAGGACATTGGCAGCCTAAGTTAGCATTAATAAGCTTTCCCCCACACACCCACCCCACTTTTATCTGTTTTGCTGCAGATTGAGAAACAAATTAATTTGCACATTTCACCTGGAGTCAGCTGATTGATCGTTGTGGTAAGAACAGTTCGTTGTATTTGCTGTTGAAGTTTCCATAATTTAACCTTTTTTTTTAAGTTGTGCAACATTTGTGCACACACTGCCCACCTTATTTATCCATCTGTGGAATTCAAAATTTGCCATAGGTTTAACTTTTATGTGTTTATATTGTCAGAAAGCTGATCAATGTAATTAGATTAGCTGGTGTGGTGAACTTGACTGGAATATTTGGTGGTTATATTTTGCTCCAGTCATGTATGGTGAAGGATTTGTGGTGTTCAAAATGACCCGAGCACAGAATTTCAGGAGCACTTCACCTTAGTATAAAAGATTTAATTGAGACAAAGTTAAAGTATGCAGATATTACATATAATCAGAGTGCAGTCTGAGGAACAAAATCAGAGTGAACCTTGCCTGGTCAATCAGCCCAATGTTTGTTCAACCAAACTTTGTGTCTGAGCGAGATTTATAGGTTTGTCATGTCTCGCCCTTTCGGGTTCAGACACACTTGTGATTGGATGTCCAAATCTCTTGATTAGTCCGAGTGACACCATATTCAGCCACTCAGGAGCAGATTTTATCTCCATGGTTACTCCGAAAGCCCCAGACGGCCTCGCTCATTCTTCTACTGATAAGGGTTGATTTACGAGCTGTTTTGGAACGCAGGACACTTACTCTGGCTCTCGTCTGTGTAAAGCTTTAAAACACGTTTTCTGTGTGTCTGAACTATTATTAATGTGAAAGCATATATACTCAACCTGTGTTAAGTATAAAGTATATGAATGTTGTGATTTAGCGTTATTTATGTTTAATCAATGTGTGAGCAGTGTGTCACATTGTTGGGCCCTCAACTCTCAGCTGCTCTGCTCAGATGAACAAAGAAGGATCGTTTCCTCCTGCATGAACAAGTGTCTTACCTGTCTCTGTTTCCCTCAGAATTATATCAAATGTGAACTTGTATGATTATCCTTAGCACTTGTGAGATTATATATAACATGAAGTAATTAGTGTATGATTATACACGCACATACCTTGTAGAAAATGCATCATTTCACATCATCAAAGGCTTGTCAAAAGATATAAAAAGATATCAAATCCAACACACCCTCTTTTGGTCTCCCAATATTTATGGGAGACCACACCACGTATGATTTGATTTTACAGATATTTTGATTCTGCCCACTTCAGGTGAACTATGAACTATCATTTTAGCACAAGGGATAATACCAATCATCAAAACACAAAAAATAATAAGAATTGCAGTCAGGGGGGCCAAAATCTTTAGCACAATCTGACTCCAGAGCCGCTAGTGAACCAAGTCAAGTCAAGTCAAGTCATCTTTATTTGTAGAGCACAATTTAAAACAGATAAACTGTTATCAAAGTGCTTAACAGAAATGTAGCAAAACATAGGCAGCAAAACAAAAACATCATACAGAATTAAAATTACTGGAGCAATAACACACACTAATGATCACACTAAGGAAAAACAAGCAGTAAAAATAAACGTCAATCATAAAACAACAGAATTAAAATGAGGTACACAGAACAAAATAAACTAACTCACACCGTATTAAACGCCAGAGCAAACAGGTGCGTTTTAAGGAGGGATTTGAACATCAGGAGGGAGGAGGCCTGCCTGATGTTGAGGGGCAGGTTGTTCCACAGGTTGGGACCTCTGACTGAAAAAGCTCGATCCCCTCGGAGCTTCAGGCGTGATTTCGGAACGACCAAAAGAAGCTGGTCCGATGATCTCAGGGCCCGAGACGGAACATATGGTTCCAGGAGCTCGGAGAGGTAGAGGGGTGCGAGGCCATTTAGGCACTTATATGTCAGGAGGAGAATCTTGAAGTCGATTCTGGATCGCACAGGAAGCCAGTGAAGGGAGGACAGAACAGGTGTGATGTGCTCAGACCTACGTGTACCAGTTAAAAGCCGAGCAGCTGCATTTTGGACGAGCTGGAGACGTGAAATGGACGCCTGACTGACCCCAGCATAAAGTGAGTTACAATAGTCCAGGCGGGTTGTGATGAAGGCATGGACTAATGTTTCAAGGTTGGGTCTGGATAACACTGGCTTGAGCTTAGCTACCTGCCGCAGTTGGAAAAAACTTTTCTGCAGAACTGAACTGATCTGTTTGTCAAACTTAAAATCCGAGTCAAAAACCACCCCGAGATTTCTAACAGTGTGCTTGAGATAGGGCTGAAGTGAGTCCAGGTTTGCAGGATCTGAGGAGGCAGCTGAGCTAGGACTAAAGACGATGACTTCAGTTTTCTGGTCGTTAAAACTGAGAAAATTTGAAGTCATCCATGCCTTAATGTCATCTAGACATTTGAGGAGAGGGTGGATGGAACGAGCACTGGCTGGTTTCAGTGGCAGGTAGATCTGGCAGTCATCGGCATAGCAATGGAATGAGATGGCATGTTTTCTTAAGATGGATCCCAGTGGGAGCAGATAGAGCGAGAAGAGAAGGGGTCCAAGGATCGAGCCCTGTGGGACCCCGCAGGAAAGAGGGACCGAAGTGGACAGACTTTCACCAACCTTGACACAAAAAGTCCTGTCAGAGAGGTAAGAACGGAACCAGTCTAAAGCAGCTCCTGTAATCCCAACCCAGTGTTCGAGCCGTGAGATGAGGATACTGTGGTCGACGGTGTCAAAAGCAGCAGTAAGATCAAGGAGTACAAGTACCACATAGTGACCAGAATCGTTTGAAGTTAAAATGTCATTGCAAACCCTAACCAAAGCTGTTTCTGTGCTGTGGAGTTGCTTAAAACCAGACTGAAAGACCTCAAAGATTTTGTTCTCAGTTAAAAATTGATTCAACTGAGTAAAGACTATTTTTTCTAGGATTTTGGACAGGAAGGGAAGCTTTGAGATTGGTCTGTAATTTGAGTGCACTGAGGGGTCAAGTCCAGGTTTCTTGATTAAAGGAGTGACTACTGCATTTTTAAAGGCCTGTGGAACCACGCTTGTAGCAAAGCTACTGTTAAGAATATTAAGAACAGCGGGCCCAATCGCTGGTAGAACCTGTTTGAACAGTGAGGGAGAGATTGGATCAGCAGGGGAGCCTGAGGGTTTCATGTGACCAACAACTTTGTTTAACAATGGGAGTGTGATTGGATTGAAATTCCTGAAAGTGGCTGAACATGGGACAAAAACCGATGGGTCAACTGAGGAGCGGGGGATGGAAGATCTGATCAGCTCTACCTTACCAACAAAGAATCTTGTGAAGTCGTTACAGACGTCCACAGAGGCCTCCATGCATTCAGACAAAGGGCCATTAAGAATGGAATTTACTGCTGTGAAAAGGGTGCGGGGGTTGTTTTTATTTTCACTGATCAGTTGGGAGAAGTATTTGTTTTTTTCTGATTTGACGGTGTTTTGGTAATTTTTTAAACAGGTTTTTAGCAAAATGAAAGAAACCTGGAGTTGGTCCTTTTTCCTTTTGCGCTCTGCTCTCCTGCACAGTCGTCTCGCTGCCCTGGTGGTCTCGTTTATCCACGGGTACTGGGTTCTCCTTGCTTTCCTGACTTTCAGTGGGGCCACCAGATCCAAGATCTTGGTGCAGGTCTCATTGTGGTGACTAAGCAGCTCATGAGTACTGACACAGGCAGAGGTTTCAGGAGTTGAAACAGCAGTGGTGATAAAAACAGAGGAAAAACGAGCAGAGGTTGAAGGGTTAAATACACGACAGGTCCTAGGTGGAGTGGGGGATTTAGACTCACGAACAAGAGAGATTTCAAATGAGATGGGTTTGTGATCGGATATGGTAGCATCCCCAATTTCCAGATTTAACACAGATACACCATAAGACAAAACAATATCGAGAGTGTGCCCCTGCTGATGCGTGGGGCCAACAACATTTTGCACCAGGTTTAGAGAGTGGATCAGATTTAGAAAGTCCTGCACCAAAGGCTTCTCAGGGCAACAGACGTGTATGTTGAAGTCCCCTAGAATCAGCACACGGTCGTATTTTAGCAGTATTCCAGTGAGAAAGTCAGACAGTTCATTGATGAAGCCTGTTGATGATTTGGGGGGTCTGTAAAGAGCAGCAACCAGGATGGGGTTGGAGCGGCCCAGTTCAAAATGCAGCAGCTCAAAGGTCTCAAAAGCTGCTGTCAGAAGCAGTCTGCATTTCCAAATTTTCTTAAAAAGAGCTAAAACTCCTCCACCTCTTCCAGATGGCCTCGGGCAGTTAAGAAAAGTACAGTCTGCAGGCACAAGTTCAGTAAAAACGCTTGACTCACCAGGAGGAAGCCAGGTCTCCGTCAGAAACAAGAAGTCCAGGTTGTTGGAGCAGAAGAAGTCATTCATTATAAAAGTTTTGGTTGATAAAGATCTCACATTGAGGAGAGCAAACCTCGTTAGGCCAGCAGCTGGGGGAAAAGTTGAGGGGAGGACGCTGATCAGCGGCCTCAGGTTGTTTACGTCGGGCCTTCGCCTCCTCCGGCCAGAGGAAGCGCAGCTTCGCGCGCGTCCGCCGCGAAGTCCAGAATGAAGAGCCTGAATCCGAGAGCCGCCGGACACAGCAGGGTCGTTGGTACACTCCGACGGGACAGCAGTAGATGGTGCAGCCGATGGACCAGGGCAGGCCCCGATCCGCTGGAGACTTTCGGACCCACCGCAGCTGGGCGCGCGCCCGCTGCGCGGTCCGGGACAAACAGCCGGAGTCCGAGAGCCGCCGGACACAGCAGGGTCGTTGGGACAGACCGATCGGGTGGCAGGAGATGGTACAGATGAAGAACCCAGGCAGACCTCGATCAGCTGGAGACTGTCGGAAACTTCGCAGCTGAGCGCGCGCCCGCTGCGCACCTCCGACCCCACGTTCTTCAGCGGGCAGGACTCCGCGAGACATCCAGGTGGAGGATCCTCAGTCCGGTGGTCAGCTGTTGCTGAGGAGCGAGCGAGGCTCGCTTTGAGCCTCACGAGGCGGCCAGCACGTCTCTCGCGGCGGCGGGAGCGATGTTTCCGTGCAGGCAGGAAAACATCACGGCGAAGGTAAGCAGGGACGCTCCCGAGCAGTGGAGGTGGGGGCCCAGAACCTCGGTAGAAATGATCGTACGAGGCGAGATGTTTTGTGGAAAATTGTAGATTTAGAAGTTGCTCACGATCATACACCAGCAGTGAGTTGATGTTATTGAGGAAGAATGATAAAAATAGCAAAAAAACAAACAGAGTGGAGAGAGGTGAACGGCAAGCCACCAGCTCGGGCGCCATCTTGAATGGAACCAGGACAGAAACTTCCAGGATCCTGGAGAAGGATCCTCACTCTTAGCCTTCTGTAGCGCATTAAGTTGGTTCAAGGCGTTGGTCACCCTGGCCTGGGGGTCGTGTCCGGTCTCATCCGGAACATAGGTGCAACAGGTGTCTAAAACGTGATGATTATACAGCTTGACACTTGTCAGGAGGCAGTGAGCTCACTGCCTTCCGAGAAGCGTCCTGCAGGTGGCGGTAGACACAAATAGGAATTGTTCCTCTGGGGTTCATTCTACTAATTGACTCAGCACCACTACCTGAGATGATTGCATCAGGGAGTACCTGCGAGTTTTACAACGATGTGGATCTTTAACATAATGGTTCCCATGGATCATTTGAAAACTATGAGACAGATTCAACGACAGATGATCCACCTCATTCACTTGAGACCAGGCCATGAGTTTAGGGTCGCTGCGTTTGACCCTTAGTTGTTGATACTGGCAGCGGGAGTGACCTGGAATTACACAGTAATATTCACACAGAAAAATTATGGAAGTGAGTAACACTGTCACCACATCCCATATTATTGTAATCCTCCAGGGGTTCTGGAACAGACCCATGGTGTTACACTAAAAATACCAAATGAGTAAACCTTAGAAGTTAATTAAAATACTACCAAACTACTGGAAGATTAAATTCAAAATGAGTAAACGATTAAACCACTAGTTATAAAACAACTCATAAAACACTCAAAAATAGCCAAAATTGACCCCTGAAAATTGAGAAATACCAAAAGATTGACCTCTCTTTAAAATACCTCGAAGAATTTTAGAATGTTTATGTTGTTGAATTGAATAAAGTAAAATTTTGAATATTTAGAGTTCTCAATTGAATCCACCGACCCTTTTAAAAGCTCTGGTTGTTTCCTCAGAATGACTGAAAGAAAAGATAAACACTCATTAAACACTCCTAGCTAGCAGGTCTTCTGTGCTTGAGCTTGCGGTGGGAGGCCTTGTTCGTCCACAAGGGTCCTTTTGGTGCTCAGCGGGATTCGGCCCACGGAGATGTCTTCATGTAAAGTCCTCAGAAACTTTATCAGTCTGAGCAGACGTTCT